TATAGGCAAACGGGCGAAGTGAATGTGGTCCGAGCTTGAACATGTGGTTTCCAACGCTGCTTCAAAATGGCTGGAACCAGCGAAACGGAAGTCTAAGGGTACAGTCCACTAATTGAAGTCCCATTGAAAACAGTGTAAAATCAGCACTGTTCAGGGCCCAATAGGCCTAACATGCATACCAACATCCCTGAGATTTCAGAAACACAAATGAAATTGTTGTCAGGTCCCTAATCTTTCAATTTCTTTTCAATTTTTTTGTGGGTTAGCAATTACATTTTTAATTATTGCCACAAAACAAATCACCCCCCCGAAAATTGTTTTTTCCGAAGTCCGATTTCAGCCATTTTTCAACTTCAAGTGCCAACCTTCGACTTTCTCAGGCACTGAGGACCATTTTTCAACCGTAGTTTTTGGCCATTCTACTCTCATATGAAAGCTCAAAGACTCAGGAGATGATCCTGGCAACGATTCACACATTCTCACCATTTTGGGGGCCAAATGGTCTCCTTTTTCAAAAGATACTGTGGGGGGGGGGGACACTGCTAATGAGCTAGTCAGAAGTCTCACTTGAATTAGTGGTCTGCACCCCTAATAGAGCCTGAAAGTTGACCCCTGATGGTACGCTTCTGGAACCCTAAGCTTGGATAGGAAAAACAATGTGCAAAGAATTTAGAATTTGTAATATTTTTTCGTTCAGTTACTTGTTAAAAAAAAACTTGAACAAGGGGGTACTACCCGGAAATCCGAGCACGCCGGAAAAATGAGACGTTACACCGGAAACTCGCTGCGTGCGTAATATATACCTTTTACTTTTATGGTTGCATACGAATCTGTTGTCTAGAGCTAGGTCTCCCCTCCATTTGAAATGTGCGCAGATGCGTAGACAATAGACCTAGCCGTAGCTCCGGAAGCCCGTTTTGGACACGGCCTTAGTCTAATCCACGCGTTTCGTAAACGCCCTCAGTCTAGAACTGGACAAAGTGGTAAATGGGCAAAGCATGGAAGTGACCGACACCACTGATCTCTAATGTACTGACTGACACCAACGTGACCCCCATGCCGAATCTGGCAGTGGCACTGTATTTTCTAGTGCAACTGTACTGCAAGCTTTGATTATTTCTAGGCCTGCTGAAATTAAAAAATGGCTGAGCTCAGATTTGACGGTCGGGTTGCACTTATCACCGGTGCAGGTGGAGGTAAAGGCTATGCCCCTATTGAATTCGTTTTATAAATTATATTTTAGTTATTCGTTAGTTGGCTTGACCGGTACGGCGGCCGCTGTACTGTAGTACGACGGAGGGTGTTTTTTATTCCTCCTTCATCGTGATGTCCGTTGCTGTTTAGGCCTATACCATGTGTGTACTTATAACTCTTTGAATTTACCAGTTGCGGTATGGATAAGGTCACTTTCACCCTTCACTCTATGCTAGGCCTACTTCCAGAATTGCAGGGTTTTACAAACCGTAATCATGTACAGTGGGCAATGACAACTCTCTATCATGTCTATGGCAAAGAAGTTTGGGCTATTCGTTTGGGAATTAAGCCCTGGCCTAGGCATTAAGTATGAACTATGAGTATGATGAGCTTATGTAGGCGGAAGTGACTAGATACTAACCCGTCAAACCTGGTCTGCTATTTTTCTCGAGACTCTTAGAGGGTTCATGCTTGGACTCTGTTTCTGCATCAA